CCCAAGGGCACATGGAACAAGTATGTCGACATCCGCTGCTCATTTAATTTCTCGAAACGCCTCTGCTTTTGTTTTTCTTTTTTAGATCGAAATCTGCCATCATGTTTGGTAGTTTTAAGGTTTCTGCTTTTCGATTTTTCATGGGTTTTTCTCTGCAGCTTGAAGCTTCAACAAATCAGGAACTGAACCAGCCAGTCCCTGTGTTTAAGCTTCCTTCTAAGATCCTTTGCCGTCTTGTTCATGTTCAGCTACTGGTATTCTATCTTGGAAATTTTTTTTGCTTTGTTTATTTTCTTGTATTTTGGAAGTAATTATTTTCTTATTTTTATTATCTATGTCATTTGATATGCAGGCAGAACAAGAGACGGATGATGTGTATGCCCAGATCACTTTGCAACCAGAAGCAAATGTGAGTAAATGCTTTCCTCGTTTTCTTCTGCCTGTCTTTTTACTCATTTTCCGGCTGCTTTCTTTTTTCTTTGGTTGATTTTGTGCCTGAGGAAAATATGTTAAAAAATTAATTAATTAATTAATTAATTTAATGTGATTGTTTGGTCAATTTAGTTCTTTCTATGTTCTCATGCTAAAGTTCAGGTTAAACAAATTCGTCTAATTTTTGGTGCTCCTAATTTGGGGCACTAAGGAAAATGATGGGTCTTAACTGATTACTTTTGAAAATATGCTGATGCATGTCTTACAGCAAGCAGAACCTGCATGTCTTGATCCATCCTCACCTGAGCCACCAAACCAGACAGTTGATTCCTTTTGTAAGATTTTGACAGCATCAGATACGAGCACGCATGGGGGGTTCTCTGTTCTAAGGAAGCATGCCAATGAGTGCCTTCCTCCATTGGTAAACAAATCTAGTTTAAATCATCTTGCTATAGTTTGACACAGCTCTAAACAGTGTGCTTTATTGAAAGTCTGTAATGCTTTTTTATTTTCATTAGGACATGACTCAAGCAACTCCAACTCAAGAGTTGGTTGCCAAAGATATTCATGGGTATGAGTGGCGGTTCAAGCATATATTTAGGGGTAAATTGTCCTCATGTTATTGGAAGTTTGCTTTCATAGTTGTAGTTAAAGAGCTTTACACCTGATAGATTTCAAACTAATGCTTTCCTAGATTGTTGACCTATTTTTGCATTTATTTTAATATGATTAGGGCAACCAAGGAGACATTTGCTAACAACAGGGTGGAGTACCTTTGTCAGTTCTAAAAGACTGGTTGCAGGAGATGCCTTTGTTTTTCTCAGGTAGTTGAATTTGAATTGTTTTCCTTTTCTTTTTGCTAAAATGCATCCATAATCAGGTGCACATATCAACTCTGCCTTTAACCATGCAATCTTGTTTTGTAGGGGTGGTAATGGGGAATTACGAGTTGGGGTGAGACGTCTTGCTCGTCAGCAGAGTACAATGCCTTCATCAGTGATATCCAGCCAGAGCATGCATTTAGGAGTGCTGGCTACTGCTTCTCATGCTGTTAAAACTCAGACACTCTTTGTTGTGTGTTACAAGCCAAGGTTTAATTCCTTCAGTTGTAAATGTCAAACGTTATTGACTATCCTGGTTGTCTTAGCATTTAGCAAAGAGTTTCCTGTTTCTGCATTTTTTTTTATCAGGACCAGCCAATATATTATAGGTGTAAACAAGTATCTGGAGGCAATTAAAAATGAGTTCCGTGTTGGAATGCGTTTCAAGATGAGATTTGAAGGAGAAGACTCTTTTGAGACTGAGAGAAGGTATGATCTCTACAACAACGTATGCATGTACTTGTGCTCTTCATACTGCCACCTGTTTGGTGATCCTTGTGGAATTGTTTCATCAGGTTCACGGGTACTATAGTTGGGATTGGAGATATTTCCCCCCATTGGTCAGAATCTATATGGCGGTCCTTGAAGGTTGAATATACTTTTGAATAGCAGATTTCAAATTCTAATATATTTTCTCTCGTTTATGATAGTGCCAAAATATTTCTCCTTTTAGATTCAATGGGATGAACCTGCAGCGATCCAAAGACCAGAGAGGGTTTCCCCATGGGAGATTGAGCCTTTTGTGGCTTCCACTTCTGTCCCTGTAAATCCTGTTCAGCCAGCGGGAAGGAACAAAAGGCCACGACATCTGGATACTCCTTCTGGTATGAGGAACTACTCTTTCTAATTTAGCCAGATGTCATCTAGGTGCTAATACATGTTAATTGATTGAAATTTAGAAATTACTACCAACTCTGCCGCTTCAACCTTCTGGTATCATGGATCAACACAGCCTCATGATTTAACCCAATTAGGAAGTACCAACGAAGTCCAGAGCAGTGAAAACCAAGTTGTCTGGCCAATGAGGCAGAAAGAAAGTGGTAGCAATCTTGTTAGTGGCAACTGCAGCTATAACTCAAGGGGCCTTGCTGAAAGCACTTGGCTGTCTCCTGATGCAAACGTCTCTTTAAACCTTTTTCCAGATTCAGTGGGTGAAAACAACAGAACTGTGAGTGCACCATCGTTTATCTCTGCTTATCCTTCACCTGCTCCATTTAGGCCAAGCAATAGCCTTGTGCATGATCAGGTTGACATTGGGAACAAATGTGAGGCCTCTACTGGTTACCGTTTGTTTGGAATTAATCTGACTACCGGTAGTGGTGCTGTTACTTGTGACAAGGAACCTGGATCTGCAACTGTCAATTCAAGTTGTCTGAAGGGACCTGTTCTAGCTGCTTTGGATGCCGATAGGGTAAAAAATGTAGATAGTTCAAAGGCTTTGAAGGAACAGAACCAGGTCACAGCAGAGGCATCACCCAAGGAGGTGCAGACTAAGCAGGGTCCTGCTGTTTCTAATTCCATGAGAACTCGTACAAAGGTATGCTTTGACTACAATTATCTCAGCAGACTGCTTTAATTTCTTTGGAAAACGTCTCTGATTCCAGTAAGATTTTATGGATGTCAAAGGTGCAAATGCAAGGGATTGCTGTTGGTCGTGCTGTTGATCTAGCTGGGCTGAAAGGATATGATGAACTCATAGCTGAACTAGAGAATATGTTTGATATCAAAGGAGCGCTAAGCCTCCGTGACAAATGGGAAGTTGTCTTTACTGATGATGAGGGTGATATGATGCTTGTGGGCGATGATCCATGGCAGTAAGTAGCTTAATGACATTTTTACCCATTTCTTTTCCTTTCAATAAGAGCTGGTCATTTAGAAAATTCATTTTATTTCAATAACAGTGAATTCTGTAAGATGGCAAGGAAGATCTTCATATATTCAACTGAGGAGGTGAAGAAGATGACTGCAAGACGTAAACTTCCAGCTTCATCGTCATTGGAGGGTGAAGGGACTGTTTTAAGCCTGGACTCCGAACTTAAGTCTGAAAAATGAAAATTCAGAAAATATGTTATTTTCTTAATTTGTGGTGTTTTTCGGTTTCCCTTGGCTTGGAAGGTAGGAGAAGAAACTCTGGTGGTAGTTATATGTATATATATATATATATATATTCCTTTTTCGGAGCTTAATTTTCTCTAGGAGAATAGAGGGCTGAAAGAAACGGGTTATACAGACATGGAATTTGATGGAAGGAGAACTAAAAATCTAATCCCAAAGGATACTATTATGGTAGGTTTAGGAATGAAACCTGTGTATACCTTCGTTTTGTGGGGTAGGCGGTTTTTATTTGAAGTCAGTAAGCATGTAAAAACATAAATGCTTTAAATCTTATCTAAACTTCTTGTTGTAGGCAATTGTAGATTGCATGTGATCATTCATGAGTTTGTAAGCTTTATCCATGCCATTAGGGAACATGCCTGCCTCAGGGGCTCAGGACCAGTCAAAGCCCTCAAAGAAAATGTATCGAGATACTCTGGTATTGATGCCAAGGTCTATCTCCCCATTACTGGTTCAGGCACGTTGCATGTGGGGTTCCGAGGTATGTTATGATTCGTTGCAGGATGCCAAATTCATTTCGATTCAGAAGAAGCCAGCAATGAGATTTGGGAACAAGAAAATAGAAAATTTCTTTAAAATATCGAAGGAAAAAGGGTTGGTGTGGAAAAAGTGCCAGTGATGCCCGCTTGGGTTGCAGAAAGGATGGTGGATTGACCAAGTTGTCTAAATTATCGAGGCAAAGGTTGTTGTCGTGGAGATCTTTTTGCCCCCAAGAAAATCACACAAGGAAGAAAATCTTGAAAAAGTTGGAAGATCCTTTGATAATGACATTGAAAATATGACTGAGTTTTTAAGGTTCCATCTCTGTCTCATGGATACATATTTAAACAAGAAAATATTGCCTTGGACGGCGGATCGCCAATGAAGCTATGCGGACAAAACTTTGGGTTGTTGTCTCAAAAATCTGGCAGCCTGCGATTGGCAGCAGCGGTTTTATGCATCAAGAAAAGGACTGCGCACCATGGCAGAGGGAAATGCAGGAGTGCTGAGGGTGAAGGATCTTTCTTAGGGATTATGTGTCACATTAATGCTTCCTGCATATAAATAGGGTAGATTTGTTCGTCTTGATGGGCCATCAGGTCATCTTTAATCCGGAAAAAAATGCATGTTTTGTGCCTTCAATTAAGGAGTGCCTGCTAATAATTTCATGGAAAATGATTTAGATTTAATTTTTTTTTTTTTATTTTTTTTTTTGATTTGCTTACCGGAGGTTGGTTTTTTTTCTTTTTTTATTTTCCTTCTTCCTTTTTTTTTGGGTTTGGATTTTTTATTTTTTTTTTTTCATTAAAAAAAATTATCATGGATTTATTCAGGTTAGTAGCTAGAATTTCTCTATATAACTTTACATATTTTTTTACAATTAATTTTTTTATTATAATTCATGATATTATATGTATTTACTTATTTAATAATATTTTATTATATATATTTACTTATTTATTCTCATGCGGAGGTTAGGAATAAAAGTTGTATGCATATCCCAATCTTTAATCTTTTAACTCTTTAACTAATTATAAATTTGACACCACTAAAATCGTCCAAAAATACCCAAATTAATATCTTAAGCCCGAGCAATTAATACCCTTTAAGCATAGAGTAACATAGGCCCAATAAAACATTCCTTAAGGCCCAATTAAAAATAGATTTGACCCGCCTCTCTTGTCAATTTCTCAAATCTTATCTGGAATCTTTTAATTATAATGGAAGGATACTTAGTGTTTTTAAATTATAAACAACAAATAATTAATAGTTGAAAACATTACATCTGAATATACCAATCAATAAATCAATAAATCAATTAAAATTATTAACTCCCCCACACAACCTTATGGTATTTGAAAAGGCAAAAGGTGCATATCACCCCCTCAACTCAACAACTGGTGGCAAATTACCCCCTCAACTCATTTCACGTGCAAATCACCTCCTCAACTCACCTGCAGTGGCAAATCACCCCCTCTATTAACACCGGCACTATTCTTTCGTTAGTTTTAACAGTTTGCTCATTAGCCTTTCCTTCGTCGATCCTGTCGAATACCACCGACCCAAAAGTCATCTTCAAGCTAGCTCTCCGCGTGGTCGTCGACGAGCTCATGAAGGTCTCCGTTTACCTTGACCAGCTGAAGGGGAAAATCATGGATACCCGTGTCAAGGCTGCGTTGGATGTCTGCGCCACCGTGATTGACGACGCGCTGGATCGACTCAATGAGTCGGTTTCCACAATGGAAGTCGGCAAAGGGGGAGAAGCTACTATCGATGTTGAAGATCGACGCTTTGAAGACATGGCTCAGCGCTTCCATTACCGATCAAGAAACCTGCTTTGATGCCTTGGATGAATTGAACGGGACAGAGCACTTGGCGATTCATGACGAATTAAAAACGGCGATGCAGAATTCCATCGAATTTGCAAGTAATAGTCTGGCAATTGTCACTAAAATCTTAAGCTTACTGGCGGATTTCAACATCCCAATTCACAGGAAGTTAGCCAGAGTCCAAGAAACAGAGTCGGACTTTCCGGGTTGGGTTAGCCCCAACGACAGGAGGCTGCTGCAGGAAACAACCCCTTCTCCAGATTTAATAGTGGCACAAGACAGATCTGGTAAGTACAAAACAATCAGAGAGGCGGTGGCGGCAGTGCCGAATAAGAGCAAGACTAGATTTATTATAAAGGTGAAGGCAAGGACGTATAAGGAGAATGTGAATCTAGACAAGAGCAAGTGGAATGTGATGATGTTCGAGGAAGGAAAAACAAAAACCATCATTACCGGCAAGCTAAATTTCATTGACAGAACTCCTACCTTTTCCACTGCTACCTTCGGTAAGTCCAGTCCCCTCCTTAGTCCTCGCTTAATAATTTTGGGGAAAAAAAAGAAGATCACATGGGATATGGATGTTGACATGTGAAATTGTTTATGATTCGTGATGCTCATATGTGGTTTTCTTTTCTTTTCTTTTTTTTTTTTTATCTAGGTTTGTTGTTTGAATGAAAATGGTGACTCTGATTACATAAACAAGCCATGTCAAATGCAGAGGACAAGTTGAAGAAAGAGGTGTCAAGCTTGTTGCATTTAGGGCTTCCATTGCATGGTTCTCTGCTTATCTGCTCTCAGAGAAACGAGGAAGAAGAAACTAGTTGGAGATGGTGCTGACATGGCATTAGATACTAGATTACAATCCACTTATACAATGACACTTGGCAAGTGAGATGATCTTGTTTGCAGCTGGAATTTCTGATTTAACAGAGGATGGGTGAATGGACTGTTAAAACTAACGAAAGAATAGTGCCGGTGTTAATAGAGGGGGTAATTTGCCACTGCAGGTGAGTTGAGGGGGTGATTTGCGTGTGAAATGGGTTGAGGGGGTGATTTGCCACCGGTTGTTGAGTTGAGGGGGTGATCTGCACCTTTTGCCATTTGAAAATGTTATTTCTTTTGGATAATCCAGAACAAGATGGGCCTGATTGGAAATGCTAGCTCTTTTCCTGGCCCATTTTCAGTCCAACAAGGCCCATGACTGTTTGCCCTATTCTGGCTCGTGTTTGGTAAAGATTCTGTTATAACCTTATCAGCATGGGACATCATATCCAGTCTTTAAGATTGGCCCAAGTCCTAGAAGAATATCTCCCACATTTCTGGTAATGGCATAAGCCCATGGCCCCATTTCCACCCCCCCCCCCCCCGGCATTAATTGTAGTGCGGAGACTGGGAAAGACAAAGACAACCTAATTTAATAATAATCATAGATATCATATCACCACCACAACTACCCCAGTCACAATGATGTAAAATGCTGCATTCTTGGGGAGCATCACACCATACATATTGTCAACTTCTGCGCTCTGCAATTGGAAAAAAGCTCACCATGCACAGTTCTTTAAAGTCTACTCCTATAAATCGTGGCCTAATTTGTTTAGTCGGTTAGGGTGCAGTTTTTTCTGTCCTTCAATCAGACATACCATTTTCCACTTATTGAACTTGCTGATGGAATGGAACTCCCTTAGGCTTATTGGAGGGGTGTTTTTCTAAAGTGGTGAAAGTTATTATAGCCAAAAACCAGAGTGAAAGGAGTGGGAATTTTTCAATGCTTTAATCATTGATTTCTTCATTTCCCAACTTAATTATACCTAAACATCATGGAAATCTTCTCATCCATATTGCTTTTCGAAGTGCATTAATGGATACAGATGATTACCTGCACAGGACAAACAACTAAAGTAGACTCGGCTTGCCAATTTGCAATGAACCAGCAGGATTAGAAAAACAAATCCTACTAGATTAGTATGATGATCCGCATTCCCCACCCACCATTCTTAACCAAATCTTTAAAATTATTGGTATATTCTTTTTCCTTTTGCTTTTCCTTCTCCTTTTTGCTAATGTACGTGTTAAAGAAACCTTGATCACTTTATGCAAGAAGATTCCATAGCCCTTTTGAGTCCTTCTCCTTCCTCTTTGTTGTTGTCTATTGATGACGAGTGCACATGTCATGGTAATAGAATTCTTACACATCCACACGAGGGAGGTTTATTTTTGCTCATTTTCTGCTGTACACCAGGTCATCGATCCACATAGGAGAGCTTGCTTTTCTCTCCTTTTTTTTTTATTATAATGAAAATGATTGAACAAAATGGTGCTTTCTTTTCTTCCTTTTGCCCCCCCTTTTTGACTTTCGCATTTGCATTTGTGGGTGGAACTTGAGCTAGTTTCTACCTTAATTAGCTGGCTACCATGAACATATATAAACGATCCTTCTATGCTCAACTTCATCATTGTATACATATCTACACTCCTGATATTATCTAACCACTGTTCATGGTTAGCAGAAGAAATATGCATTACCGTAAAAGAAAAATGAAAAATGAAAAAAACTACATACATATTTGTTGGAATAATGATAAATGAGTAAGAATTTAGGATCAATGATGTGGTATAAGTTACGTTATTTAAA